CACACTCAAGTTTATTGCTGCTTTGTTCACAATAGCAAAGAGCTGGAAGCAACCTAAGTGCCCATCAACAAATGAATGGATAGAGAAGTTGTGGTATATTCACACAATGGAGTACTACGCTGCCATGAAAAACAAGGAACTCATGAAATATTATTCAAAATAGGTGACCCTGGAGGACATTATACTGAGTGAAATATCTCAGTCACAAAAGGACAAATACTGCATAGGACCACTGTTGTAAAACAGGACTGACATCGGGGTTGGGGGGAGACTGAGGAAGATGGTATAAATTACGTATACTGCATTGAAACAGATGAGGGAGAGAACTGATTAGGTATTATTCTCATGACAGGAGTTCAGAACGAAGGCTGCATAGTGGAGTGGATTTGATGGAAGAGGTTGTATAACAGTGAAAGTATTTTACGTTTCAAAGAGAAGAGTGAACTGGGAGTGAGATGTGGGCAGGGAGAAAAGTGCAACAATGAATGAATGGAAATCAAAGTCTCTAAACGTTCATTAAAATTAACATTAATAAATTAATTAATTAAAAGAAGTTGTGCTGCATTTCAAAGGTAGGAAGTTGGAATCTACCAGCAACTCCTTGGGGTAAAGTTGGGCAGTCTCTTCCTGGCCAGTTTACAACCTCTAAAAACACGCTGAAAGGTTAGTTGTGAGTTAGTTCTCACTCCATGGAAATGAAGAGTTTGGGTTGGGTTTTTAAACACACACACACACACACACACACACGTGCACATGAGTATGTATTTATTTGGGGTTTTTTTAGTTGGTTTTTTGTTTTGCTTTGTTTTTTAGTATTTTTTATTGTGCCTAGTTAGTTTTCTTTTTCCATAGTGGATAAATAGGTTCTTAAACAAATTCAGAGTGATGTCTTAATATATTCACGTCCATGTAGTAGTCACTGACTTCTGTTGTTGTCCCTTCTCAAACGAAGATTTGCCTTTGATTTTTTTGGTTTCTTTAACAGTATTCTCTAATTAGTGAAACTCATTCTCTAAATCAGTTCCTTAGTACTTTTGTAAACAGGTTCTTTATTAGAATGAAACCCATTCTTGGTTTTAAAGCACGTTTTCTTTTAAAATTAATTGATTTTGGAAAATATGGAGTAGCCCATTTAATTAGAGGATACCATTGTAGTTTTGATTCTTATTCTCTAGCTATCATGAGAATTTGTAATCATATACTTCCTATTTTAGTAAATACAAGTTGTTGTTATGTGCTATCAAGTCAACTTTAACTTTTAGTGACCCTGTGCATAATAGCACTGAACACTGAACGCATTGCCTTTTTTTTTTT